ACAAAAATAAAATCATACGACGTACTACAAGACCTTTATTAGAACAGATTGGATTTTAAAAGATGATATTGGCATACTTTATATCTGGAAATTATTTATTATTACTATTAATCTACATAAAATTCTATGAAATGGGCATATGGCTGGTTTCTATCCAGTCAAACATTCCCAGTCTGGTGCTATAACTCTTATTTTGCCACAAAGTTATCAAATTAAGGTTTGGGCAAATGGCCCTGGACAGCTATTTCGAGGAGCTTTTAATACATACTGGATCTAAGATAAGAGAAAGGAGAAATTATACATTCATTAGAGTTGGCCCAGTGGTTAAAGTACTGCAGGCTATTTCTTGCCCACTGCCAGTATTTCAATCCTGACCAGCTCAAGGTTGACTCAGCCTTCCATCCTTCTGAAGTTGGCAATATGCAATATGCTGATTCTGTAAGCCACCTAAAGAGGGCTGTAAAGTATCATGAAATGGTATACAAGTCTAACTGCTATTGCTGTTAAAAACTTTCTAAAATGAAATGTTCTGTTTTATTTATCAATTCATTAACATATCGATGTAAGAAATCATGCCAGCTGTAGGGAATGGCTAACTTCAGAGTAAATGGATAGACAGATACAAGAATATTTTCTTCATTTCTAGTGATCATGTAGACATGTCTACATAATTTTATTAGAGCAAGGTGGAACTTTTTTGCCATTTTCATATCCTAGGAATTTTTTTAAAAACTTCCAAGCTTACCCTGAGCTTGCATGCTATTTTCTCATCTCATTGCTAACCAAGTCTGGACATACATAGATTTTCTGGGATCATTCAAGATTGGTTATGTTGATAGCACCTGTAGTTGGCAATAAAGACCCGTATTTATTTCATAGTTTATTAATGTTGACTAATTATTAAGATCAGAAATCCAGAAATAAAGAAGTATAATCTTTATTCATTTGCCAAGGCTTGATATTAGGCAGTCATAGAGTTATCTGTTTTACTTTTCATGCCATGCTTATGTTTTACATTGTACTCTACTGTGTATACCTCCAAGTGGCTTTTTAATTGCAATAGCATAGAAATATATTTCATAAATAAGTATAATAAATATGCTGATTAGCACTTCAGAATAATCCCACACAGAATATAGATTTAAAATATGTTTTCTTATGACCTGCATTGCAATTTACTCAGAAGAGACTAATATACATATCTCAACCATAGGGTATAATCTTTTGGAAGTTCCAAGACAAATTTAGAAATTTGACCTTGTGATAAAAACTACCACTGTTTTATAATAGTAATACTTCTTGGCAGAATTTTCACATCAGAAGAACATGTCACTTTCAATGAATATTGTTTTGACTACATGAAGTTATAATTTTTCTTGATGGATTCTCCCAGAATCCTTGGGGGGAAAAGTCCATACTTCAGATTATTAGAAGGAGATCCAATTAAACATAGTATTTTTATTCTAATTTCATTGACTATTGTACTGCAGTTTAAATCAATTATTCTTGGTCCATTGGAAGAATGTCCCACTTTTCTATTGTCACAGAAAAATGTGAATCATAATCACTCATTTGATAGGAACAATTATATGGTAGAATGAATATAATTCTACCTGTCTGAATTTGGGAGTATTACTTGTAGAGTATTGTAAAAAGATGAACTATTTTTCATAAAAGAATTATTCTTATGGTAACATCCAATGTAACCAGGAAGAAAACCCCAGACATATTCCTTTACCCTGAGACCTTTGACACTTGAATTCAATTTCATGGATTGCTTATGCCTATGGATCAAAAGGGAGTGTATATATTAGTTTAAGTGAGTGAGATACTGAGGATAGATAGATACAGTGGTGGGATTCAGCCGGTTTGGGCCAGTTTGGGTGAACCGGTAGTTGAATTGCTGGCTGGCCCTGCCTCTTCCTGCCCCGCCCCTTCCAGGAGTCCCCACATGCCCCATTTTGGCTCAGAGGTAAGTGCAGGGAGGCCTACTAGGCCCAAAATGGGGGCTTGCTGCCCAGGGGGCAGCATGCCCCCGCAGCCATTTTCACTCCCAGGAAGCTTCAGGGAGGCTTCCTAGGCCCAAAATGGGGTGCGGGGAGTGTGGCGCATCCCCCCCCATGGCCCATTTTTGCTCCCAGGGGGGTGCAGGAGGCCTAGTGCTGCCTGTCATGCCCCCTGGCCATGCCCACCATAGGTATGCCCACTCAGCCAATCATTAGGGCAGAGAACTGGTTGTTAAATTATTTGAATCTCACTACTGGATGGATGGATGGATGGATGGATGGATGGATGGATGGATGGATGGATAGATGGATAGGTAGGTAGGTAGGTAGGTAGGTAGGTAGGTAGGTAGGTAGATAGATAGATAGATAGATAGATAGATAGATAGATAGATAGATAGATGATAGATAGATATTGGAACAGTAGGCATCTGAAAACAATGAGTGACTTTATTTTGAAATACAAGGACACAGAGTTTCTGTCCAACTACAGTACTGAATAAGAATGAGTAGGAACTTGGTACAATCCTCCTTTCAATATTCATCTATGATCACAGCAACTGAAAAAAAGATATTGAGGGGTCTTTGGTGAACTCTGAGTTCGGTTGTTTTCTTGCAGACGTTTCATTACTCAAGATGTTTTATTGTTCTCTCCCTTCTAATCAAGGGGCCTCATCCTATTACAATAAAAACATCTCCACCCCCACCCCCTACTTTTAGCAAGGATCAAGTAACAAATGTTTTTTTTTTCCCCTTGCTGGTACATTAATGAAAATTACTAAAGAAAGATTGGTTTACAAGTACTTATACATATAGTCATGTACAGTTCTTTGCTCATTACTTAATTCTACACTCTCTTGAAGATTCATGAATTTGAATGAATTTGACTTGCTGGTTGGAGCCTGGCATTAAATGTCTGATGTAATGATGGATTTGTCCTTGAATAATCACAGAAGGATTCCATCCATTCCTTGTTGGAAGGCCTTATTTGGCACCAAAGGATGTTGTTTGGTAGAGAAAGTTTTCTTGTCCGATGCTTTTTCCTGAACTTGATTGCAATAGGTTCATCCCTGCTATATAAATTGAGGAGTTCATTAGGAAAAGTTTGCAAATTGTCTATCTTGACCTTTCCCTCCATACAGTAGAAACTGGCAGGGAATGAGAACACATGACAGAGAAGGCCATGGTACCAACATCAGCAGAAATATTACACTGTGCAAGTTGGGCATTTTGCCTTACTCTTTCTCTGTTGAATTGTTGTTGAAGGTTGAAAAATGCTTGCAATAATTAATGTTTGCTACATGTTCTTGAGCTGATCTTCTCCTTTCTCCACCATCTTTTCTGATCTCCTCATTGTGTACTTTTTCCTGTGATTCTGGACATCTGCAGCCTTTTCATCTTTGATTTCTTTGTTTTTCCTCTTCCTTATCACATTGTGATGTTTGTTGTCATCTCGATTTTATTTTATTTTAACCACAGTGTTGTATATTTCATTCTCACCTCATAACAGCTTAGAATCTCTGCCATCTTCTTCACTGAGTTGCAAAAAGAAACAATTTTTAAATAGGATCATGTAACTTCCTGAGGGCTAGAATAGAATAGAATAGAATAGAATAGAATAGAATAGAATAGAATAGAATAGAATAGAATAGAATAGAATAGAATAGAATAGAATAGAATAGAATAGAATTCTTTATTGGCCAAGTGTGATTGGACACACAAGGAATTTGTCTTAGGTGTATATGCTCTCAGTGTACATAGCTGAAGGATGGACTAATCTACATTTACTTTAAAGAATAGGAAGCAGTTGAAAAGTGAAACAGGATGGCCAAACACTAAGATATAGTCTAATGTATTTGACTGATACTAAAAGAAATCCAGTTTCCATTCTATCTGCAGCCACAGCAGCTCAGTTGGTAACTTTCAGCCCAATCTGACACACAAAGTTGTTGTTGTTTTTCTTTGGGGGGGGGATGAATATTTATAGTATATGTACTTTGAACAAAAATGGGATATAGATATATGTGCATGTTTTTATGACAAAAAGAAATAAAAATATACAGGCCTTTCTTCATGCAACTTAAAGCTGTTGCTTTTTTAAGAGCCACATGATGAGTCAATTCCTTGCTGCTGGGAGGGAGGAAGTAAGAGATTGCAAGACTGGCTAGGAAACGGTCATGGAATGTTGAAAATGAAGATCACATGATCAGTAGCGATATAATATTCCCAAATTTATTTTCCTCCAGAAAATAGAGTTTGGACACGTTAGCCATTTGAGATTACACACACACACCCATACCTACACACACACACACACACACACACACACACATACACACACACACACCAGGGACCAGTTCAGTTGTGCGCACACGCATGCATGTGGCACTTCTGTGCATGCACAGAAGTGTCTGGGTGGGTGGACGGAGCCTCCCACCACCACCCCTACTGGTTCACCCAATCTGGTGCGAACCGGTAGCAACCCAACACACACACACACACACACACACACACACACACACACACACACACAATGAGAGAGAGAGAGAGAAACAGCTATTGAAGATATATAAACAACATAAAAAGAAGACATGAAATGCAAAATACTAACAAGTGAAGGATTTAAAAATTTCATGGAGATTATAATTTTCCAGTATTATAATGATTAATTGTAAATAACTAAATGTAATATATTGTTTTAACAGACTAAAACATCTTTACTGAAGTCTAAATGAAGAATTAATATTCAAAGCAACCATCAAATAAATTATGTGCTACAATAAGTTGCATACTGATACATATTACTAAAAAAATTAAAATATACAGTAGGTTTATGCATTGAGGAATCCAAATTTTGGGTGTGACAAGCCATATTTTTCCAGAGTGAATTTAACAGTTAAATATTTTCAGGATATTTTTCAAAGCCTTGCTTGCTTGCTTGCTTGCTTGTTTGTTCATTGCTAACAATGAAGTTTTGTTTGATCTACTTTTTTACAGACATCTGTATTCTTCTGCAGCCTCCATAATGGTCTCATAATGGATTCACTACAGGAAGCCTAAGAGGATGATGACGATGATATGAGAGAGAGAAAACAGAGAGAACATGCACACATAATCACCAATATACTTAGTTCTTGATAAATGTGGATGCTAACATCTTAACAGATGCACAATATCCCACAGATTACAGCTTGTTCTTCTCATTATTATTTACCTAGCTTAGGCTGGATTTATGTGCAGCCATCAAATATTGGATTTTTAATTGATGCTCTGAATTCTGTCTATTTTGAATGAAAGCAAGGAGTTACAATTCATCTGAATGCTAAAAGCCTTCCATATGGCTTTTTGAAAGTTTTTGAAGTAAATGTTGATTTACTAGGTTTTCCAAAATAGTTATGGCCAGGATTGATATGTTCTTTTTAATTTCTAAACAGATGACTACCAATGAAATGCTATTACATGTCAAGGATGCCGTCATTCTTCTTTTGTTTGACTTTCAAGTATTTTATATTTTTAGAAGTTGTAATCCTAAACTGCATCAAATATTAAGATTAAGCTAAGTGATAGCTTCTATTTTGTGTTGCTCAGATTGCACCAAGAATATTGACTAAATTCACCACATTGTAAGAAGGACATTGACAAACTAAGCAAGTCTAGGGAATGACAACATGGATGATAAAAGGCTTGGAGGGGAAAATATATCAGAAATAGTTCAAAATACTAGTGTCAAGATTGAACCGCTTTGCCTCTTTCAAACATTAATGCTTTTCAATTTGCCAATGAAGTGAGGGGAGGGAAGGGGAAAATAGAATACAGAGAGCATGGAAACCATCAAGGCCACCACTGCAGGTGTTGGAGAAAGAGATGGATTGTTCCCATAACAAAAGGACATATTATAATTGGACAATGTGATCACCAGGGGTGAAATGCTCCCGGTTCGGACTGATCATCCGATCTGGTAGCGATGGTGGCGGGTGGTTGGGAGAACCGGTAGCAAAAATCCCCGCGGGCCCCCTCCCGTGCTCAGCTGAGTCGCACGATCATCAGAGGCTTTTTTTTAATTTTAAAAGCATTTTTTCTACAACCTCTTCCAATGAAAAAATGCTTTTAAAAGTAAAAAAAAATGCCTCTGGTGATCACGCGGCTCAGCTGGTATCGTCAGAGGCTTTTCAAAGCATTTTTTTCTGCAATCTCTTGGCCGAAGAGGTGGTAAAAAAAATGCTTTGAAAAGTCTCTGACGATACCAGCTAAGTTGCCTGATCATCAGAGAGGCATTTTTAAAAAAGCCTCTCTGCCGATCAGGCAACTCAGCTGGGATCGTCAGAGAGGCATTTTTTAAAAAGCCTCTCTGACGATCCCAGCTGAGTTGCCTGATTGGCAGAGGCTTTTCAAAGCATTATAAAAAATGCTTTGAAAAGATTTTTTTTAAAAAAAGTTGGCCATCCCCACCCAGTCACATTACCCCCCCCACAAGCCACCCCCACAGAACCGATAGTAACAAATTTTACATTTCACCCCTGGTGATCACCCATGGGTGGGGAGAAGGGGAAGCTATTGTTTAACTAGGCAAGTGTTTTCATAGGAAAACCAGAGCTGGTTTTGTTTCTTCAGTACCAATATGGTATATCCAATAAGGTTTTAATTTTAGGAATTCAAATCTCCCAAGAGTATTTCCTTGCTTTGGGTTCACTAGTTGGACAGTTGACAACTAGTTGTGGTTAAGTTTAGCCAGAAGAAAGCCATATGGAGACATGATTGTCTTCAACTATCTAACAGGTTATCACATACAAAATTGGACAGAAATGTTTTTGAAGACAGGAAAATCCCATGAGTTTAATGAGCAGCCTTAAACCTTTTGGACACCAAGAACCAGTTCCGTGGAGTGAGGTTTGTCTCACCTGGACCAGAGGGGGCATGATTTTGTGTGCTGCCTGCATCCTGCAGATAGGACTTCGCTTGTTTGCACAGCCCAGTTTCTGGCATGCCATGGCCTGGTGCCGGTCCATGAACCAGGGGTTGGGGACCTCTGAGTTTAATTACAAGGAAGATTTTGGACTATAACTCTGCTGGCAAACCTATGGCATGCGTGCCAGAGATGGCATGCAGAGTGCTCTCTGTGGGCATGTGTACCATCGCCCCAGCCCAGCTCCATTACTTTTCTCACCATCCTTTGCAGGACTAAAAAAAATATGTGCGAAACAGTATTCGGCCTTCGCGGTGGTGCCTTTGTGGTTGCTGCCTCCATGGCCTGCCCCTTGTGCGCAGCACAGTGAAATTTAGCATACTTCACAATGGGGGAGATGGGGTTCCTCTTCCACCTGGAACCCATTACAACACGGAGCAATAATATGACCCAGTGTCGGCGTGGGCTCACTCTCACCTCCCAGTTGCTTTTTCTGCAGAGCTGCCTGTGTTGGGATGCCCCGCCTCCCCGCTGGTCAGCTGGGCTTTGGCGCACTGCTCCTGGGCTCATCGGCCTCTGGAATTCAGATTCCCACTACCCAGCACCAGTTCAGAGGTTCCTTCCCACCATCCTCAGGGGGGAGGGAGGGAGAGAGGGGGGAAAAGAGAGAGAGAGAGAGAGAGAGAAAGGCAGAGACAGAGAGAGGGAGGATAAGAAAAAGAGAGAGGAGGAAAGAGAGACAGAGGGAGACGGGTAGGAAAAGAGAGAGAAAGAGGGAGGGAGGGAAAGAGAGAGGGGGGAGGGTAAGAGAAAAAGGGGGAAAGACACACACAGAGAGAAACACACAGAGAGAGGCATAGAGAGAGGGGGGAAGAGAGAGAGATAGGAAGAGGGAGGGAGGGAAAGAGATGGTGAGAAAGAGAGAGGGAGGGAAAGAGAGAGAAAAAGAGAAATAGAGAGGCAGAGAGAGATAGAGATGGAGGGAAAGAGGTGGAGAGAGAAAGAGGAGGAAGAGTGAGAGAGGGAGGGAGGGAGGGAAAGAGAGAAAAGAGAGAGATAGAGAATGGAGGGAAAGGGAGAGAGAGAGGGAGGGAAAGAGTAATATATTACAAAAGTTTTTCTTTTTTATTGTTTGAAAACAATAAAATAAAGTAATATTTGAAAAGCAGAAAAAAATGAAGAGGCATAAAAGTGCATTTAGCATGTTTTTCTTAGAACAATTAGCTGAACTCTGCATTGTTTATCATTATTTTAGGTAATAAAACCTCATTATTCAAGTTAAATTGCTGTGTTAGCACTTTGCGATAAATAAGTGGGTTTTGGGTTGCAGTTTGGGCACTTGGTCTCTAAAAGTTCACCATCACTGGACTATATGTTCTTCAAGGTTTCTTTCAGCCCTTATAGTCAATTATTTCATAATTATTCCATGAAACAGGATTTTAGATCATCTCATAGTTGTGAAATGGACGGCTAAATTTGATTAATAGACAAAATACTTCTGCTATGTATGGGTAATATACTGTATGTTATATAAATTATTCAGAAATATCTAATCCCAATCTCATTTGCTAATACATGTGCTGCTTATTCTATATATTGAAGCAAATCATATTTTCTATTAGTGCAATTTATAATAATGTTGACATCTATAGGGATTGGGGGCTTTAGGTTTACTCTTGTTCATAAATGCTCATAACATTTGCTCATAACATTTGGGATATCTCAATTTTTAAACAGATATATAAATATGGATGTTAAATCATAGTAAATATGATTTTTGTGGGGAATAAATTGTGCTTGTACTTATATTATTAAATAGACATGAAGCTATTTTAAAATCCTTGCTTTAAACAAATTTTTTAAGTTTTAACCATTCTTTTTTTTGGGGGGGGGGATATACATCAATATGAACAGTGAGGGATCTGGGTATCATTCATTTAAATACAAATAATAATAGTAATACTAATAATATTTGTTACATTAATCATACTTATGTAATTGTGGTATTATACATATTTGTATTAGAGTGTGTTCCTTCATTATTTAGTTGTTCAGTATTTTTGTGCACCATTCTAATAACAATCACAATATTATTTAAATGTACATAGTGATACCATCTTTCAACATCTAATCTTTACATCTAGCTATTAATTTTAGTATATTATATAAAAATATGTATAATAATATTCCTCCTTAATCTTGTTTCTACCTCTATTCTAGCTCTCAATAAATCTTAAACCCCCAATCTTATATTAAATCTTAAACTCTCAATCTATATTAAACAGCATTCCCTTTCTAAACATCATCTCTTACCCACTTTAGTATTTCAATTCTTATTTGTTTTTTGACTTGCCTCCCAAACTCCTCCCTTGAGTCTTTGTCTCTGTCTACACCTTTCCTATTAGCCCAGATATTTCTTGCATCTGCTGTACCTCTGGAGGTTCTGCCAAAGCCCCTGTCTTCTCTTCAAAACTATCTTTCTTTTTATCCAATCCCATTTTTTGATCTCTTAATATATATTGTCCCTTATTTGATTCATAAGTCTTTATTGTCTTCTTCTTCTTCTCTTCTTGTTTTATTCATTGATTTATCTGTCCTGTCTTTTCCTCTGGTCTTTCTATTATCTCCTCTATTTCCTGTGTTTTATTATTTTTATTCATTGTCTCTTGTTGAACATTTTCTGATTTCCCCACAATGTCATGCATTAAGTCTTTTATTTCCCTGTGGTTATTTATCAACACTTCATAAGTACTTTGAAGTATCAACACCATTTCTTTTTGAAATCCACTCATCTCCCCCAATGCAACATTTTGTCTTATTTTGATAGATCCAAATATTGCTCAATAGCCTTGTCAGTAGTCTGTCACCACCCCAAAGTCTCAATTGTCTATGACCTCAGAAAACCAGCTTAGAAACCATTTGCTCAATCCTTGCTCTTCAGGGGAATGCAATAGTTATATTTCTTTGTGTCCCACAGTTAGTCAATTAGTTCGATTTAGGTAATCCAGAAAGATTTCCTAATATCTCCTTAAGTCCACTTTGTAAGTTCAGTCATAGTTCCTGGCATTTAAAAGTCATTTTCTTTAGATGTCTTCTATAATCTCATTGTTAAACTTCCAATAACCATGAGGTAAACAGATATAGAACAGTAAATAGCACAGCAGTCCTCCAGATGTTATTTATTTCCACTTTTTTGTCTTATCAGTACTTTTCAAGGTTATAGGAGTTTAGTATATATTCCATTAAAAACCAAAGATGGTGCCTTCATTTTATATTTCAATGTTGCACAAAATCTAGCAAATATTTATTTCAGTTTTTGTAAATAGTCAATATTCAGACAAATAATTCCAGCATTTTAAAATATTGCCAATAAAGTTTGAAACTCCTATCTTTTTATATGTTAAAGATTTTGTGCTCTCCCTTTAATTCCTTTTCTTTTGGGTCTTAATTTTTCTCTCTGTAATTATTCACCATTTGCCATATAAGCATTTCAAAAAGTCTCTTTTCCAGGATTTATTTTCTTTGGGGTTAGGTTCTAGATAAAAAGAGAATCACCTGACCCTGTTCCACTCACTGTTTATCTATACTGCTCCAGCACATTCTTTGTTTTTTTTTTGGCTGCCCCAGCTTCCCGGTAGCCATAATGGCTGCCTCTCCT